TTTTAAAAAGTGGTATTTTTGTAAAAATTATAAAAATGTGACATTTTTGTAAAGTGACACTTGAAAAGTGGCAATTTTTTAAAATTTCTCTATTATTATTAACAATAATTAATATAAATTTTCAAAAGCTTAGTTCTACCATTTTATTATTTCATAATTTTTTGTTTTATACACGTAAACGCGTCAAATCAAATGTATAATACTTTAATACATTCGAGTGCAAAATTTATTATAATTGAGATTCTTCTCATAAAAAATTGAAGAAACTATTTGATCATCTTATAGAAAATCATTTTCTTCGCATTGAATTTTGTATAAAAACGAAGTTCGACATCAAAATATTAATAGATTAATATGAACAATTCTTCGTACACAATTAAAAATTAATTTATTTTGTTTGTCTGTTACAATTTTTCATTTTGTTAAAAAACAACAATTTTCTATTTATCTGGGATAATTAGAAAAATATAAGATTTAGAGATTAATTTCACCCATTAAACGATTTACTATGACATGGCCATTTTTATTTCGGATAGAAATTTTCATAGTGGTTTTTTTATCAAACATTAAATATAATATGACAATATAAAACTGTTTTTTTTTAAATGTAAAAGTTGTATATTTGCTTTTTAATGTAAAAATATATAACCACTGATTTTAGACAAAATATAATTTTATTTAATATAAAGATAAAACTTTGTATGCAATTTATATTAAATTATCTTCTTATTTTCAACTTGTCTTTTGTTAAAATTTTGTTTTTAAGAATACGTAGATCTGTTTTTATAAATTTGGGAATTTTTTTGTCACAACGCATGATAAATTTTTTAAAAAAAATTGGTTAAGTCTTTATTTTAAATTTCAATAAAAATATATTTATGTAAATAAATATGATCAAAGTAGAAAATGAGAAAACTCTAATTAATGGTCTTTTTCGGATTCCGATACTTTTCTAGATATATCTGCTTAGAAATGTTATAGTAGATAAAATATAAAAACCTCAGAGAACCAAAAAAATTGAGAAGAGAAAATCATATACACGTATAATACAAAGCATGAAAACCGTGGATATGAAACTCATATTAAAAAATGAAAAATCTAGATTGAAATATTGAAAACAAACATTCGATATGCCATCGGCTAGGGTTTTTCTAAGTTTTAGAAAGGATATCCGATATGCCCTTTTTCTTTTCATTATTATTGAATTAATGCAAAATTTCAATAATTAATGATGATACACTTGTGGCTTAAAAAGCATATCAGATTGCTTTTTTAAAAAAAATTATTGATAATTTTGATCACTTGTGCTTCTATTTTGTTTTTTTGTGTGTTATTGAATTTTGATCACCTCATATCACTTAAAAATGGCATATGCAAAGCCTTTTTTTCTTATTGAATATTCAAATTTTGAATTAAAGTACATGGCTATAAGATCAATAAACGTGCTTTGAGAATACAAAATTTGTTTAGAATTCAAATCTTGCCAAATTTGAAATTTATGATAATTAATCATATACAACAAATTTATTAGAATGCCATGTCATAATTTATTAGAATGTCATGTCATAATTTTTTGGTTGAGAGTGATTGTAAAGATGAAACTTAAGCAAACTCTAAAAATTCACTTCCCAAATAATATATAAGGGATATTGCTGGCAGACAAAATATTATTTTTTATGAAATTAAGTATATGTTAAATTATAAATAAATAAAATGATACAATTTGATGCTAACTTAATCTCCACCATATTCTTTCATTACTAAATCCAACTCATCCACTGTGATAAAATGTGTTGACTAAATCCACATTGATGGCTTAAAAAAAGCTCTAAGTCTATATTTTTGCCACTCTTCTATGGATCAAACTTATTCGTTGTTTTCTTTGTACAAGGTTGTGCCTTCCACGGTTTTAAAAACACATTCGCCTCAGGCCCCCAGAAGTCTGGGCACGACACTATCTTTGTAAAATATTAGATAGCTTTGAATAAGTGATCATCTTATTTAATGTCAATGTATGCATCTATGTTGAGATAATATTGATGTAAATGTATGCATAAATGGTGAAATAATATTGATATAGTCGATTAATCCATTACCATTTACACCAACTTGAAAAATATATATATAAAAAAAAATATTTTCAGATTTTGTCTTTTAAAGAGGAGTAAACCGATCACTATGCTTCTCCAACTCTCAAAAAATGAATGATACAAAAAAAAAACGACAAAAGCATTATGTAAAATCAGTAAACATTGCAACATGAGTTAATTACAAAACCTTTTTTAAATGTTTGGTTTGTATAGTACTACTTTTCTTGTTAAAAAATTCAAAACGATACATATATTGTTTTCTAATTTTGGGACAAGATCTTTTTTAAAAATTTGGTAGGTCTTTATTATAAATTTAAATAAAAATATATTTGAAATAGAATATTTTAAACAGTTTTTAAATGAACTAAATTATTATAAAAATATTTTTCCAAATTTATTTTGCTTTATTTATGGAAAAAATATAAATTTAGGTATAGAATATTTTGTAAGAAACAAATTCTAAACAGTTTTTCAATAAAAACGAAAATACCATTAAAAAAGTATTTAGTTTAAATTTATTTTGCTTTATTTATGGAAACATAGTTTAGAAGATTTTGTAAAAGATATTGTTTTGATTCAAATTTTTCATGGCACAATTTTTCAAAACCATGTCATATTTATTTTTGGGAGAGTGAATGTAGAGATGACACATAAATAATCTCTAACAAATCACTTCCCAAATAATATATAATATAAGAGATAACTATGTGTCGCTATTAACGTATCATTAAGATATTGTTTTGATTCAAATTTGTCATGTCACAATTTTTCAAAGCCATGTCATATTTATTTTTTAGAGAGAGAATATAGAGATAACACATATACAATCTCTAACAAATCACTTTTCAAATAATATATAAGAGATAACTATGTGTCGCTATTAACGTATCGTTAAGACATGTTTTTTTTTTTAAACATTACAGTAGATTTAAAATTTTATTTTTCCTAAGAATCGTTTAAAGTAACAAAATTAAGAAAAGAACTAACAAGCCTTCAAAAATATGCCAATTCGTAGTGGTAAATCGTATTTCCACTCAAATATATATTTTAAAATATATATTCTAATCTTATGTGGTAATTAATTTATAGATAGTGGTTTCTGCTATTGTTTTTAATACTGACATATTATTTCTTCCTAATGATTATTCTTGTTATCAACAGTGAAATACCATTTTAGAAAATTCATTATAAGTTTTTCAAATGCATCAATCAATCAGTTTTTTTTTTGTCGACATTATTTAGTTTACTCTATGTAGTTCAATTTCGAATCTCTTTGATGTTCTATAAAAAAAAAAATTATAAGCTTTTGTTGATTTTTACAACAAGATTGGAACTTTAAACCTGTTTAAAAAGTGTGGTTCTCTGTATAAAAGACGTTCTACTAGATTTTTTGCAAATAAACCAAGTGATGATATGTTCATACGTTTTTTTGTGTGGTTTGAAATTTACAGAAAAGAATACCAAAAGATGAAACTAAAAGAATGCTTAGAAAATACCAAGCTCCTAGAATTGGAACAAGCTCGAGCGAGTCTGAGCCAAAGAGAAGCTTCTGATTGTTGGCACCAAACCTAATATTTCATGAAAATCTTTTAGCAAAAAAAAAACCTAATATTCCTGATTTGAATTTAGAACCTCCTTCTGATTCCGACGAAGAAGAAAAAGGCGAAATCGTAGAAATAATTCACCATTTGACATATTTAAAAGCGCAAGATAAAAGCTATGAAGTTCCTAAACTTTCGTACGAGTTTGAAGTCGCGATCTTAGCCCGTGTTTCTTGCTTCGAATACTGGAAACTACTGTTTCTCAACAAGCAGTTCTCGCAATTGTTAAAGAGCGGTGAGATTTTCAAGGTGAGACGAGAACACGGGCTAGCGAAACCATACGTGTTTATGCTTTCGGTTGGTGACACTCGTTGGACAATGTTTGATAAAAGTTTCGAATTTTTTCGAAAATTTCCAGAAGTTCCTTCAGACTTTTGCTTCTTATATGGCGATAAGGAAATGATTAGCGCAGGAACGCAACTAATCGTTATTGGAAAGGAGATAGAGAGCATTGTGGTGTGGAGATACAAGTTAGAGATGCATAAGTGGACCAAAGGACCTTCAATGATCACACCGCGGGTCATGTATGGTTCCGCGAGCCGTGGGACCGACGCTTTCTTTGCTGGAGGAGTCAAGATTCACGAAAATGGAACCCCCGAGGTTTTGAGCGCGGTGGAGAAGTACAATGCTGATACCAAAACATGGACAATGATACATGGAATGCACAAGCGAAGGAAATTCAGTTCGGAATGTTTCTTGCGAGGCAAGTTTTGTGTCATTGGTGGTCCTGATGAAAATGATAAATACTTAATTTGTGGAGAAAGTTACGACAAGGTGAAAAATTCTTGGACGCTGATACCAGACATGCTCAAAGACATAACGTTTAAGTCTCCCCAAATGCCGCCTCTAATCGTGGTGGTCAATGATAATCTTTACTCATTGGATACATCTTCGAACGAGTTACAAGTTTATGATGTAAACGCAAACGTTTGGAAGAAAAGAAAGCAAACACTGCCAAAGGTTGGGGAGTTGTGTTTAAATCGATTGGAGATAGGCTTTTGGTGATTGGAGCTTCATCTGCTAGACCTTATAGTAAGACAATGGCGGTTTACACATGTCGTCCTTCTCCAAATATAGAAGAGCAGCTTTGGAAGGAAACGAAGAACTGTTGCGACGGTGTTGCGCTCAGCGATTTTATTCATAGTTGTTGTGTTATGTTTGCTTAAGGTCTCTTTTTGGGACGAAAACTTGACAACATA